TGAGCAGTGTTTTGTAGTTCTCATTGTAAAGGTCTTTCACTTCTCTGGTTAGGAAGATGCTGAGGTATTTCTTTGTGTGTGTGTGTGTGGCTATTGTGAATGGAATTGTGCTTTTTATTTGACTCTCTGCCTGCTTGTTGTTGGTGCATAAGAATGCAACTGTCTTTTGCACATTTATTTTGTACCCTGAGACTTTGCCAAGGTCCTTTATCAGTGCAAGCAGCTTTTTGACAGATTCTTTTGGATTTTTGAGGCATAGGATTATATCATCAGCAAAGAGGGATAACTTGACTTCCTCTTTTTCTATTTGAATACCCCTTATTTCCTTCTCTTGTCTAATTACCCTAGCTAGGACTTCCAACACAATGTTGAACAAGAGGGGTGAGAGTGGGCAGCCTTGTCTTGTTCCAGTTTTCAGGGGAAATGTTTCCAGTTTCTGTCTATTTAGCAATATGTTAGCTGTGGGTTTATCATAGATGGCACTTACTATTTTGAGGTATGTTCCTTCTATACCTAGTGTTTGAGGGTTTTTGTCAAGAAGGGATGCTGGATTTTACCAAAAACTTTTTCTGCATCAAATTATATAATCATGTAGTTCTTGTTTTTACATCTGTTGATGTATTTAATTACATTTATGGTCTTGCAAATGTAGAACCAACCCTAAATCCTGGGGATGAACCCTACTTGGTCATGGTGGATGATTTTTGAGATCAACTGCACATTTATAGTAACTTCTCTTTTTAAAATTAAATTAGTTTGTACATATCTACCAAAAAGACACCTGCATCTATATATTTATCGCAGCACAATAGCAAAAACATGGAAGTAACCTAAATGCCCATCAGTGGTGGATTGGATAAAGAAAATGTGGTACAACACCATGGACTGTTACACAGTCATAAAAGAGAATGAAAGCATTCTCCTTTGAATGCAATGTGGATGCAGCTGGAGACCATTTTTCCAAGTGAATGAACAAGAACAGAAAACTGAATACCTTATGTTCTCACTTAAAAGTGGGAGCAAAATACTAGTTACAGATGGGCAAAAGGAAGAAAGCAACAGGCACTGGGGAGAAAAGGAGGGAATCAAGGGTTGAAAAACTACCCATTGGATACCATGTTTACGATTTGGGTGACGGACTCCACAGGATCCCAAGCCTCACCATCACACAATATGCACAGGTACCTTTGAAATCTAAAATAAAATAAAAATTAAGTAATTATTCTTTGATGTTGTTAAAGATAGTATCCAACACTTAAATTCTGCCTTATGGTTTTTGAAAGATTTTACATAATATTATCTCATTTGATCCCCACAGAAGCTCTGTGAGGGATGGAGGCCCTGTGCTGTTGTGATCCAATTTTACAGAGAACTCAGAGAGGCTAAGTGACTGGCCCTAAGGCACAAAGTTACAGAGCAAGGACCGGTGATGTGCTGGTAAACCAGCTCTCTGGAATTTAATAACGAACAAGTAAGCCCTGCTTTGTAGTGTTTGCCAATTTCTATGTGTAAATACTCCCACCATGGCCAAGGATGTCACTCGTCCAGGAGCTAGGAAGAGATGCATACACTTGCCCCTTGGGAACCGGCAGGAGCCAGCTCTAACACACCTCTGAAAACACCTGGGTTCTCCAGATCTCTTTCCACTGCTCTTTGCTGCCTCCCTACATGACAATAAATTTTTTTTCATATTTTTTAGGGCGATTTATCCTAAAGTTATTTAACTTTTTTTTAAAATCATGCCCATGGCTTTAGCCTCTATTGAAAATCCTTATGTTTTAGGCATTGCTTCAAGAGCCATCAAACCAACACTGGGACTGGTTGATCCTCTGCACACCCTCCACATGCCTCCTCGGGTGGTCGCCAACAGTGGTTTTGATGTGCTTTGGTAGGTACTGGTGGCAATTGGAAGGGCTTTTTCAGTACTGAGACTATGGATAGTATTTTGTTGCACAAAGCACTTGTAAGTAAGCATCCATTGATTAGCACCCCATATCACCCTAGTTTTCGCTGTCATTATCTCCTTTCCTACACAAAAACATTGAAGCTGTGAAGATTGGTGACTAGGTGAGGTCTGGTATGGGCCACACAACTGCTATTCAAGGTGGACCACCCTAGCCACAGCTGTGGCCCCAGGATGCAGCTAACAGAGCAGTTTAAGCCAGCATGCACCATCCCAGGAATACGCTAGCTGCCTTTACAGCCATACTAACTAGGAAACACCTCAGGCTGCATACAGGGAAAGGAGTTAACACCTCAAGGACACCCCAGGACCAGCACACTGTATCAGCACCTTCACATCATCAGTTCACTTCAGTGCTATGAGAAAAAAGACCTTCATTTTATTGAAAAAGAAAACTAGGTTGGAGATGTTTCATGACCTTTCAAGTCTTTCTGTGGCTTTCCATACCTACTGTCCAAAGGTCACGCTCCTTGGGCCTTGAATGCCCCAATGTTCAGATTTTCATCTCCCTGGAGACTCACCTTTCAATTTCAGGGGAGCATGTGCACCTTGATAGACCCTCTGATGACCCTCCTTTTCTCTCTTGTCAAGTACAACTGACCAGTCAGACTTTGTTCTTCCCCACTGGCAGGCCTGTATATTGTTTCTGAGACACTCTGTCTTCATGTGATCATCTCCGCACTGTACTATGCGCTTGACAAGGACAGAACCATCTTACTTCTCTGTCCCTGCACAGGACTGTCGCATTGTAGATGCTGAATTAATCCCTGTTGAATGAAATTTACACAAGCAGGCAGTGACAGAGTTAGGATTCACATCCAGGTCTCTAGATCCCTGGTCTGCTCTCCCCACTATGTTATGCTGACTGCCAAGAGGCTGTAGAAGATTATATCCAACTCCATTCTGGTCAATATTTTCAGAATTTTGATGAGCCATCTCCTAATAACTGGGATACAGGAAATAAGATCATCCTCCCTAGCTGTAAACTGTATAATAAACAAATCATGGCCCAAAGCAGTCACCTTTATGTGAGTAACTCACAGGCTCAAAGACTTCACTGGTATCAAAGCAGGGAGTGGACTCATCAGGGAAGAGAATGATGGTAGTTGTTCTTCCAAGTGCTATCCAAGGGAGAGAACATCTGGCCTGAGAAATTTGCCCTTAAGGCTCAGTGGATGGACAAGTTATATGTTAAACCTTGCAGGTAATTTCCCATGTTAGCACTCCATGGGCCATCCTAGAGCTTGATTATAGGGAGAGAAGGTGCCATCTTGAAGACTCAGGTGTCTGTCCTCCTCCGCAGTTATGTCTCTCTCTCTCTCTCTCTCTCTCTCTCTCTCTCTCTCTCAATGATGTCTCGCTATGTTGTCTAGGCTGATCTCGAACTCCTGGGCTCAAGCAATCCTCCTACTGCAGCCTCTCAAAGTGCTGTGATTACAGGCATGAGCCACCACACCCGGCTTTATATTTCTCATTGTAAATCAATAATCTGACCTCCAGGTTTTACACGTAACTTGTAAGAGCTCAACTCAGTGAGTCCGTCCCTGAGAAACAAATCTGCTCTTGGATTCAGAATCTAGATGCAATCTAGATGTGCTACAAGACAGAGGTCAGAATCTGGCCATAGTGAACTTACGGGCATCTGTCCTACTTCTGTGGACACCTCATTCTTGCATTTGTTCACACATTCCCTATTTAGAACCACAATGCCACAACATCCATCTACAAACTAATTTTCAAAAAAATTTCTAATGCTTTGCCCAAAAAATAGTTATCTGCTTCTAGATATGTGTGAAAGACAGTAAATCCTCCGTTTTGAGACTGAAAACTATAATGTATGCAAAACATCATTCATGTTGCACTGTATTCTAGATGGTGATATTTCTTCTCATCTTCTGCTGTTGATGAGCTGGGAGCTATGGCAGGAGAGCAGGAGAAGGCAGCTCTGAAGCTTAGTTCTCGAAATAGCCAACTCTGACTTTTGGACACAGGAAAAAGGATCAGATTTTTTTTCAGGCCAAAAATTAATAGTGAGTAACAAGTTTTACAATGTGCCAAGCACTATTCTGATTTTTTTTTTTTTTTTTTTTTT